TCGCTAGTTATAAGATAAATTCAAATCAAAACCACAATGAGATATCATCTCACACCAGTCAGAATGGCTATTATTCAAAATAAAAATAGAGGCTGGTTGCAGTGGCTCATGCCTATAAATAATCCTAGCACTTTGGGAAGCCAAGGCAGGTGGATCACCTGAGGTCAGGAGTTCAAGACTAGCTTGGCCAACATGGCAAAACCCCATCTCTACAAAAAATACAAAAATTAGCCAGGCTTGGTGGCAGGTGCCTGTAGTCCCAGCTACATGGGAGGCTGAGGCAGGAGAATTACTTGAACCTAGGAGGCAAAGATTGCAGTGAGCCAAGATTGCACCACTGCACTCCAGCCTGCAGGACAGAGTGAGATTCCATCTCAAAAAAAAAAAAAAAAGTAAAAATAGAATATGTTGGCAGGGCTGCAGAGAAAAAGAACACTTATACACTGTTTGTGGGAATGTAAATTAGTTCAACCACTGGGGAAAGCAGTTTGGAGATTTCTCAAAGAACAAAAGATAGAACTACGATTCAACCCAGCAATTTCATTACTTGGTATATGTCCACAGGAAAACAAACCATTTTACCAAAAAGACACATGCACTCATATGTTCATTGCAGCACTATTCGTGATAGCAAAGACATGGAATCAACCTATGTGCCTATCAATGGTGACCTGAATAAAAATCATGTGGTACATATACACCATGGAATACTTCACTGCCATAAAAATGAACAAAATCATTTCCTTTACAGCAACATGGATACAGCTAGAGGTCATTATCCTAAGTGGATTAATGCAGGAAGAGAAAATCAAATACCATGTGTTCTCATTTCTAAGAGGAAGATAAGCATTGAGTACACATGGACATAAATATGATAACAAATGTCACTGGGGCTACAAGAGGGGGTAGGGAGTAGGGAGACAATAGTTAAAACAATACCTATTGATACCATGATCACTCTTTGGCTGATGCATTAAATTATACCCCAAACTTCAGCAGCACACGATATTCACTTGTAACAATCCTGCATGTGTACCCCCTGAATCTAAAATAAAAGTTGAACTTAAAAATAGAGACCAATAATTTGATACAAAAGATCAATAAACTGTAAAATTGGTTTCTAAAACAGATAAATAAATGTAATAAATCTTTAGCTAGACTAAGAACGGAAGACAGAAGACTCAAGTAAATAAAATCAGAAATGAAAAAGGAGATATGACAACTGAGATCTCAGAAATACAAAGGATTGTTAGAAACTATTATGAACAATTATACACCAAAAAATTGGTAACCTAGAAGAAATGAATAAATTCATGTAAACATACAACTTATGAAAATTGAACCATGAAGAAAAGGAAAACCTGAAGAGATCAATAATGAATAATGAAATCAAAGCAGTAATCATCTTTCATCAAAGAAAAGCCCAGCACTTGGTGGATTAATTACTGACTTCTACCAAACTGTTTTTTTCTTTTTTTTTGAGATGGAATCTTACTCTGTCGCCAGGCTGGAGTGCAGTGGTACAATCTTGGCTGACTACAACTTCCACCTCCTGGGTTCAAGCAATTCTCCTGCCTCAGCCTCCCAATGCCCAGGATTACAGGCATGTGCCACCATGGCTGGCTAATTTTTGTAATTTTAGTAGAGATGGGGTTTCACCATAGTGATCAGGCTGGTCTCAAACTCCTGACCTCATGATCCACTCACCTCAGCCTCTCAAAGTGCTGGGATTACAGGTATGAGCAACCGTGGCTGGCCTCTACCAAACTTTTAAGGAATTCAGCTGAAACTATTTCAAAAGATCGAAGGGAGGGAATTCTTCCAAACTTATTCTGTAAGGCCAGTATTATCCTGATACTCAAACTAGATAAGTACACACAGACACACACACAGACACCCACACAGACACACACACATCTATCAACCAATATTCCTGATAAACATATATGTAAAAACCCTCAACAAAACATAATTCAATAAGACATTAAAAAGAACATTTGACATAATCAAGTGGCTTTACCTCAAGATGCAAAGATGGTTCAACATATGAAAATCAATAAATGTGATCAAGGACAAAAAGCATATGATCATTTTGATACATGCTGAAAAACTATTTGGTGAAATGTAACATTCCTTCATGATAAAAACTCCTAACAAATTGGATATAGAAAGAAAATATCTCAATATGATTAAAGCTCTACATTACAAACCTACATGAAAGATCACACTAAAAGGGGGGAAATTGAAAGCCTAAGATTTGGAACAAGACAAGGATGCTCACTTTCACCACTTTTATTCAACCTAGCTCTGGAAGTCATAGCCTGAGTAATTAGGCGAGAAAAAGAAACAAAGTGCATTAAAATTGTAAAAGAAGAAGTGAAATTATCTTTGCAGATGACATAATCTTATTTTTAGAAAAACCTAAAGACTCCACTAAAGTTCTTGGAACTGATAAATGAATTCAATAAAGTTGCTATACACTAACAGAATTCAATCTGAAAAGCAATCAAGAAAACAATCCTATTTATAACAGCTCAAAAATACCTAAGAATAAATTTAATTTAACTAAAGAAGTGAAATAATCTGTTCAAAGAAAACTGCAAACCAATGATGAAAGAAATTGAAGACACACAAAAAATGGAAAGATATACCACGCTCATTCATTGGAAAATTGATACTGTTAAAATCTCTACACTACGCAAAATGATCTAAATAATTATTGTAATCCCTATCAAATTACCAATGACATTCTTCACAGAAACAGAAAAAAAATCCTAGAATTTGTAGGGAACAAGAAAAGGCCCTAAATAGCTAAAGTGGTCCTGAACAAAAAGAACAAAGCTGGAGGCATATTACCTGATTTCAAATTATACTACAAAGCTATAGTAACCCAAATAACATGACACTGGCATAAAAACAGATGTATATATCAATTGAACAACATAGAGAACCCAGAAATAAATCCATGCTCTTGCAGCCAACTCATTTTTAACAAAGACACCAAGAATATACAATGGGGAAAAGAACAGTTTCTTTAATAAATGATGCTGGGAAAATGGGATATCCATATGAAGAAAAATGAAATTAAATTTTCGTCTTTCATCATGTACAAAAATCAACTGAAAATAGGTTAAATACTTAGCTATATGACCAAAAACTATGAAACTACTAGAAGAAAATGTTGGGGAAACACTACAGGACTTTGGTCTGAGCAAAGAGTTTTTTGGGGGTAAGACCTCAAAAGCACATGCAACAAAAGCAAAAACAGACAAATTTACATCAAGCTGAAAAGTTTCTGTAGAGCAAGGAAACAATCAACAAATTAAAGAGACAACCTATAGGATTGGAGAAAATATTTGCAAACTATCCATCTGGCAAGGAAGTAATAACCAGAATATTTAATAAGCTCAAACATCTCAATAGTAAAACTCCTCAAATAATTCAATTAAAAAATGGTCCAAATACTTGAATAGATATTTCTCAAAACAAGACATACAAATGACCAACAGATGAATGAAAAAAATGTTCAACACCTTTAGTCATTAGGGAAATGCAAATCAAAACCACACTGAAGTTATACCTTACCCAAGTTAAAATGCCTATTATCTCAAAAACAAAAAATAAAAAAATGCTGGCAAGGGTGCAGAGAAAGGGAAATGCTCCCACAACGTTGGTGGAAATGCAAAGTAATACAGCAGTTAGAGCAAAGAGTATGGAGAGTCCTCAAAATACTAAAATAGAACTACCGTATAATCTAGCAGTCCCACTGCTGGATATATTTTCAAAAGAAAAGAAATCAGTATGTAGAAGTGATAGCTGCATTCCCGGTGTGTGTGTGTGTGTGTGTGTGTGTGTGTGTGTGTGTGTGTGTAAATGATCTCAATAGTTACCTAAGTGTCCACCATTGGATGAATAAAGAATATGTAGTGTATATACACAATGGAATATTATGCAGCCATAAAAAGAAATGGTACTATCATTTGCAGGAACATAGATGGAACTGAAGGTCATTATTTTAAGTGAAATAAGTCAGATGTAGAAAAATATCCTATGTCCTAGCTCATATGGGGAGCTAAACAAGTTGATCTCATGGAGTTCGAAAGGAGAACGGTGGTTACTAGAGGTTGGGATTAGAAGGAAGTGGGTATGGGGAGGGGGCAAAAAGGTAAGTTGGTTAATGAATACAAAAATATAGTTAAATGGAAGAAATAAGTTCTAGTATTTGATAGTGATACAGTTTGGATGCTTGCCACCTCCAAATCTCATGTCAAAATGTGGTCCCCAGTGATGGAAGTGAGGCCCGCTGGGAGGTGTTTGGATCATGGGAAATGGATTCCTCATGAATGGCTTAGTGCCGTCTCCTGCTGGTGAGTGAGTTCTTATGAGATCTGGTTGTTTAACAGTGTGTGGCAGCTCACCCCTGTGCCTCTGGCTTTTGCTTTCACCATGAGACATTCTGGTTCCCTGTTGCCTTCCACAATGATTAAAAGCTTCCTGAGGCCCTTATTAGAAGCACATACCAGAACCACACTTCTTATATGGCCTGCAGAACTGTAAGCCTATTAAACTTCTTTTCTCTGTAAATTACCCAGTCTCAGATATTTCTTTATAGCAATGCAAAAATAGCCTTATACAAGTAGGGAGATTATAGTTAATAATATTGTATATTTCAAGATAGCTAGGGGAGAAAATTGTAATGTTTCTAACACAAAGAAAAGATAAATGTTTGAGGTGATGGGTATCCCAGTTACCCTGATTTGATCATTATGCATTGTATACATGTATCAAAATTTCACATATACCCCACAGATATGTATAATGATTATATATCAAGAAAAAGTAAAAACCAAAACAAACAAAAACTACAAGAGCTCACTGGGGAAGGTGACATGTCTATTATCAAGTCATCCCATAACATAGGTCACCAAGCAATATGGCGATATGCTATCAGAATTGTCAAAATTATGTAGACATAGTGTGAAGAGAGTCTTGCGGCTTACCTTAAAAGAGATTTCATACTGTTCTCCTCCCCAGATTTCTAAACCTGGATCATAGCCACCCAATTCCCAAAACCATTTCCGATCCACAGCAAAGAGACCTCCAGCCATAACAGGAGACCTGTGAAATGAACAAAATAATCTTTAAAGGACTGTGAACATGAAAAACAATAGTAGCATTTTGCTTGGGAAAAAGTAAAATTCGAGTTATGTTTTAGTGGTCAGCTGTGTGGAGCTTTTCAGCACTGGTTTTCTGTAAGTGGATATAGGGTTCTCATTGGGTCTCTCACTGGAATGGATGTGGGTAGGGAGGGAGAAAGAATCCTTGTGAGCATTAAACATTTGCAGTTCAGGTCTTAATGCAACAATTGCCCTGCAGAGCCACATTTGCTTCATTTGTTTATCATTAGTGAGAAATATTAGTACATGAGTAGTAATAACCCAGAAAGTAAAAAATTTCACTCAATTTTATGGTTTTTCCTTAAACTGAAAGGAGTCTTCTTCTATCAGACAGATAAAAGCATTGAAAATGCTTTTGTAGACAGTATCTTTGAGTAATGTTTCAGTACGCATTCACCAAGCATCTACTATGAACAGATCATGCCCAATTTGTAAACTACAAATCAGCTGGTTAGAATGAAATAAGCAACCAGCATTGGTTGTTCAATGTGCCAAAGCTGGAATTTAAACTAAGTCTTTTCTTTTTATGCTACTCGCTTTAGGCCTTCTCTGCCTTTCTAAGAAATATTAATTTTGGTTAAATAATAATTTTCAAGTATTCCACTCCTGCGAGGATACATTTCAGTCATGTTATTGTGTAATAAGATAATTATAACCATTTGGTGAGCCCTGCCGTAAATATTTTTGCAGTTCAAAAGTGCTCTTGTTTATTTTATTTTTTTGACTGCTCATTATATGCTGGGCTAAAGGATAAAATCTATACTTAATTACCTTGATCAATCCTCACAACAATCCTGTGAACAAGATCCCTATGCACAGTTTGAGGAATCAAGCAGAAGAGGTGGGAGGCAAAGGCTAGTGTGTGGTGAGGCTGGGCTCTGGCTCTTCACCACAACACTGTTTCTGTTTCAATGTTTGGAGGTGAAGAGACATAATTACATACAAACAGATATAAAACAGAGAACACCTCTACACAGATACAGCAAATCGATCAACACACATACCTGATTTGACAGATTTGAAAAAATTTTTTAAAACAAAGGATACTTATAAATAAAAGTACCAAATTTTACATGTTGATATGCATGAAAAGATTTGCATAACCACAGTAGACACCAATTTATTGATCAACTGAAAACTTAGTCTTGGTAATGCTTTACGAGGCACTTGGGGAACATAACCTGAATCTGTCTAAGTGTATTATATATTTCAAAGACTTTGCAGGCTAAGATGGTCCTTGATTTAATTACTTCAGTCTAGGAATTTTTTTTTGAAGGTGTAGGCTTCATGTAGATGAAGAGATTACAAGGCTGGAAGAGAGATTTAGGTGTTTCCCCAGGAAAGTGGGCAGAATTCAGAAAATAATATAAAGAAACTCTCTCATGTAATTTTTTTTCTTTTAATAAATCTTCTAGAATCAGATGTGCCTTACTTTATCCCTCTCTCTAGCAGCCTGATCCTTCCCCATTTTTTACCCACTGAATTTCAGAGTGGAATTACAACTGGAGCTGCAACGAACTAGGATTGTAATATTTATTGAGTACAGTTCCCCGAAGAACACTTTACCAAGTGTAACCATTGCTTCTGCAAGGGTTGGTTATAAGTAGTCAGAAATTCTCAGTCTTATTTAATCTGAACTGCAAATAGAAAGGTCCCAAATCATACAAATACATTTTCATTTCATTGTGTAAAACATGAGACAAAGTGCACCAAAACTTACACTGTGCACAATGAATCTTAAAACTAGAACTATCATTGGTATATTATTATAGACCTTGGGCAAGAAAAATTCTAAATTGAATTTTTACTGCAAATTGTCAGAAACACAATACTCTTGTTTCCTTAATGAGTTTATAAAAAACCCAGGCAGTGTATTGTAGGTTATTTTAGACATATAGTAACATAAATTCAGATGAATCTTCTGTACCTTCATTGATGTTCTTACAAAGCCCTAAATAAATGAGTATCTCCTATCTTGATTGATGTGAACGGCAGATAGGAGATAAACTTTTTATTTATTCTATTTATGTATTTACTCATACTTGTCCATGAGTTTTAAAAACAGCTTAATTATTGTTGTAATTGACATATAATTGATTGTACATATTTTAAGTATACAATTTGATAGGTTTTGACTTGTGTGTATTTCCGTGCAGCCATCACTGAAAATAAACCTATCTGTCATTTGCCAAAGTTTTCTCATGCCTCTTTGTAATCCTTCTCATTTCCTTCCAACAGGCAATGACTGATCTGCTTTCTGTCACTGCAGATCAGTCTGCATTTTCTACAGTTTTATGTACATATAATTATACAGTATATACTTTTTGGGGTGTCTGGCTTCTTTTATTCAGTATAACTATTTTGAGATTCATCCATGCTGTAGCATGTATCGATAGTTCATTATTTTTAAATTGCAGAGTGGTATTCTATTGGCATGAATTTACCATGATTGATTATTCATTCACCTGTTGATGAACATTTGAGTTGTTCCCAGTTTGGGGCTATTACAAATGAAGCTGCTGTGAACTTTGTGTATTAATCTTTGTGTGGATGTGTGCTTTCATTTCTCCTGGGAAGATTCCTAGCAGTGGAATAACTAGACAATATAGTAGGTATGTGTCTAATCTTTCAAGAAACTGCCAAACTGGAAGCAATGTTTAGCTCCATTTGCTTCACGTCCTCACCAATACTTGTTATGGTCTGTCTTTAAAAGTTTAGTCATGATAACAGGTGTATAGTGGTATCTTCTTTTGGTTTTAGTTTGCATTTCCATAATCATTAATAATGTTAATGTGTTTGTATCATTTCTCTTTTTCCCTAGTAAGTCTGGCAAGAGGCTTATCAATTTTATTAATCTGCTAAAATAACTAACTTTTGGTTTCATTGTTTTTCTCTATTGTTTTTCTGTTTTATATGTCATTGATTTCTCATTAGTCTTTATTATTTTAATTCTTCTGCTTACTTTGGATGTAATTTCCTCTTTCTCTAATTACTTAAGGTGGAAACTGAGATAATTGATTTGAGATTTTTTTCTAATAGAGGTGTTTAGTACTGTAAATCTCCTCCTAAGACTACATCGTGTTCTTATTTTCATTCAGTTCAAAATATTTTCTAATTTCTCTTTTGTTTTATTTTTTGATCTATAGGTTATATAGAAGTATATAACTCAGTTTCCAAATATTTGGGAAATTTTTTGGAGATTCTTTGGTTATTAATTTCCAATTTAATTCCATTGTGGTCACAGAATACGCTTTGTATGATTTGAATTATTTTAAATTTATTGTGACATTTTAATGGCTTTAGAATATGGTCTATCTTGGTAAATGTTCCATGCATATGTGAAAAGGTTGTGTATTCTGTTCCTGTTGGATAGAGTGTTGCATAAATATTTATTAGGTCAAGTTGTTTGATAGTGTTGTTCAAATCTCCTATATTCTTATTGATTTTCTGTCTCCTTGATGTATCAATTACTGAGAGAGGGGTATTAAAATCTCTGACTATAATTCTGGATTTGTTTATTTCTTCCTGCTATTCTGTCAGTTGTTTGCGTCATGTTTCTGTAGCTCTCTTAATAGGTACATAAATGTTCAGGGTTATTTTTTGTTATTGATGAATTAACTTTATTATCTCTATAAAATGACTTTTATTATCCCTAATAACATTCTTGGCGCTGTCATCTATTTTGTCTTGATATTAGTACAGTCAGTCTAGCTGTATTTGGATTTGTGTTATCTGAATACTAGTATTTATAAGGTTTTCTATCTTTTTACTTTTAAACTATTTGTGTCTTTATGCTTAAAATAGTTTTCTTATAGGTAACATACATGCATCTTGCTTTTCAACTGGGCTATTTAGATCACTTACTTTTACTGTGACTATTCATGTGTTTAGGTTGAAATGTGTCATATTCCTGTTTCTTATTTGTCTCATCTGTTGTTTTCTTTTCCCATTTTTCTAATTTTGATTAATCGAATATTTTTCATATTTTCATTTATTATCCTTTTTGACATAACAAAACTCCTTTTTCTTCATTGTAAGTGGTTTCTTCATTATTGCAATGGTTTATGGCATATGCCTTTCTTTTATCACAATTTGTGTTCCAGTGATATTATGTCACTGCACATATATTATAAAAAGCTTTGAGAGTATGGCTCTATTTCTCTTCCCCCAACCTATGTCTTTGTTGTCATACATTTTACTTTTACACATGTTTTAAATCTCACATTCTATTATTATATTATTTTTGTTTAGCCAATCACCTTTTAAAATGATTTAGATGATACTTTATTATGAACACCATTTTATATAGATGAAATTATATTATGAACAGCATTTCTGTATTCTGTTGGAAACAAGTGGCTCTAAAGAGAATTTAAATTGTGATGTGTTATACACAACTGAATTAGTGGATTGAAATTCACACCCCACCACCCAAAGAAGAGTTAACTATTGTGCAGTATTGTACTGAAGTTAACAAGGATGAATGTTTCCCTCAGATATTAAAGATACAAGGTTTTAATGTGTCACGTTGTTTTCTTATTGAGGGAAATGAAGAAGAGTAGTTTATTGTTTTGAGCATGTTCTTCCAGTTCTTTCACTTAAAATATAATATTAATTACTTGAAACTTCAGCCAGGGGTTTTTATTGCCTACAATCTCTCACTTGTTTATATTCACATTGATTGTTTTCTTGCAAAATAGTCTTGCTTTTTTTTGTTCCCCTGGAAATGTTAACTCATTGCAGGTGTGTTTTAATGAGGCTCTGTGTCCATGTAACCTTTAACATATTAATGTACTTTATGAATATTGCTCACACTATCACAGAGTAGGCTTTGAGTTTTGCTACTAATAAGAACCTGCTATCTATGAGATGCCTTTTAAAATTAATGTGACAATGAAGAAACGTGTTCTTACATAAGTTTTTTTTTTTATTCTACAGGCC